TACAATGTCTAAATATTCAAAAACAGTAGACAGAAATCTTACAATTTTACTAACAGCAGAAATATCATATTTATTTCTTATAATTTTACAGTATCTAAAATTCTCTAACAATAGACAAGAAAAATAAATAAATTTATTTCAAAAAATTTACAGCACTTAAAATTTCTAACATAGATAAAATATCACAATTTTATTAAACAGATTATTTTTCAAAATAATGAGGTCGCTTGCGCATAAAATTTATCATGCCAATAATTAATCATGATAATAAGCATAAATAATTATTTCATTTCATTTTTAAAAAGAACGGATTATTTTTCAAGATAATGAAGTCACTTACCTAAAATATTTGTGAGGGAGCTTCCGATAAAAATTCGGCTAGGGAGAGGAGCTCACTGTGTTTCGACCAGAGAGAGAAAGATCTCAGAAGTTTTCTAGGGTGGGAGTTCTCGCCTCTTGTATTTAAACTCTTACGATAACTTATTATAATATTTTATTAAGTGACACCTTATACACGAGGTATAACCATTATATTACCCCTTATACGCTTAAAGCCCACGTCAATAGTGATGGTCCCTGAGGACCATCATACTCATATGGACTATCACTTATTAAAAGTTTTTTTCCTTCTCTTTTTTTTTTTTTTTGAAATTTTAGAATTATTACAGATAGCCTTGAGAAATGTCGCAATCTGCTTTCTTACATTATTAGGGACATTATTGCACGCAAAAACATCTCTTTTAACCCCTGTCAAGTGTTGCTGGAACCTATATGTACCTCCAAATTTTGTCATGAGATGCAATTTGGTGTCGAAAATTCTTAGGATGGTAAATCTATTTTTATCTCTAGTTATAAGTTTTAAACTCTAAAAATGGTTCAACTCTAGCAAATCCATAAAAAATAGACGGTCCACATAATTTGTTGCAAGATGTACTATTTTTAATACTTGAAATCTTTGTTTTTTCTTTATATTTATATATCTCGATGTTAAGATGATCAATTAATTATTTTCCCAACTTCAAAACAATCCTTTTTGGAAGATTTTAGATATACGCCTTAATTCTGCATTTTTAAGGTATCAACAACCAGTGTTCAGAAACTCGACTATGCCAAGGTTCTCGACCCTTGCCCGAACCGAGTTATTTGGGTGATTACGAGTAACTCGCCCGAATACAATTCAAGTTCAAAAAAATAAAAAATCAACATAAATATATATATATATATATATATTATAGCATTCGCTTTAAGAGGTCTTAGGTTTGAATCCTCTTTTTGAATTTTTTTTTTTAACTCCCGTTGTGAAACATTGGTGTCAACCGTGTATACATGTTTTCCTTTACTAGATATCCAAAACATTTAACTCATTTCAAACCCTAGATTTAGTCTTTCTTATTCTTTTTAATTTGCAAGTAGTTTAGCTTCTAAACCTTGAAATTAAATGGCAATTCCAAGTCTAGTTGAGAAAAGTTGCTTATGATGCAGAAATATCACAAAAATAAAGTAAAATTTTTAGTTAATATTTTAATGGGATTATATACAATGATATCATTTACCTTTAGTATAAAAAGGTCACAATTAATTATAATCATTAAATGTGAAATCTAGCTTGGGTGTGTTATAAAATTCGAAAAAATGCAGCCACCCAATTTCACATCCAATAATCAAGAATAATTTATGACTACCTTGTGCGAAATGTAAATGGTTTCATTATACATTTTCCCTATTCTAATAGGACATAAGGATTAAAACATTCTGACATATATTGAGCTGAAATGAAGGGGTCTATCAGCAAAGGAAAAATCTATCTTCAAAGCAATATTTTACTTCAAACAATAAAAAAAAAATCAACTGTTTTACTTCGCTTTGACCTTAGTCACAAGGCCAAGGTCTAGGTGGTTAAGGCAGCGTGCTATAGAACAACGGCATGAGTTGCATTTCCACTTTGTTAATATTTGAGATATTTAAAAGAAAAACTTTTATTTTTTCTCTCATTTGGTTGCTGACATCAAAATAGTAAAATTATATTGAGTTTCAATTTTAACGTAGTATACAAAGTATTTTTTTTTTTTTTTTTTTTTTATGATTTCTTCGTTTGTATTTGGAAATTCGTACAAAATTGCTCTATGAGTGCTTTCCTCTTGGAAGAAAGACACACAACCCCTTCTTATAATTATAATTATAATTACAAATAAAACCCTAAACCTATAAAAATCCTATAGATCCCCTCCAAATTAAAAGAAGATAAAGTTTAACCACCTCTTTACTCTTTTTTTATTATTATTTAAGTTATAATATTTATCTTTTTATTTAGGGCCAGCATTCTATGCTTCCCCTACAACATAAATTTATATACTTCTTATCCAACCGTCTATTCTGAATGGAGGCTTAAGATTACCCCAATCACAATGTCACGTCTTTACACTATTTTATTTTAATTTTTTCTATAAACTATTTTGATTCAAAATTTTGGACCTCCATTCTTCTATTAAATTCGCACGAGCGAAAAAATATAAAAAATATTTCCAACAAATAAAATGACCAAAATACCCTTAAAAGTTTCAAGGGGTATTTTGGTCATTATATTCTCTCGAAAAAATATTTTTAATATTTTTTATAGGTGCGCCTCAATGGAAAGATGACACCTACCAAATTTAATATTCATACAATTTGTATAAAAAAAATTAAAAATAAAATACTTTGAGACATTGGATTTAAGATCACATGGTGAGTGGCTCTCTTGATCAAAATTGGACGGTTATATGGTAGGGAAAGTATAGATCTTCTATGCTGTAGGAGAAGTATATAAACCTTTCATTTTTCTTTATCTAATAATCTCATCATCCAACCCATAAGAAGGTACCCTCCTATCTTTCTTCATCACCCATCCATCTCGTAAAGACAAACTTCACAAGCATTTGGGCATTGGAAATGAAAAGGAATGGAACGGAGAAGTTTTATGGGAGTATCTATAAAAGAGATCGTTTATTTTTGTTCATAGAGGTTATAATCGTCTTGTTTCTTAAATTTTAAAATGGGCAACTGTAAGAGTATCAATGAATAGACACAAAGTTCGAAAAGAAAAATTTCAGATTTGTGACTAATCTCAAGCCATGCAATTTGACATCCAACGAATGAGAATGATTGTGACCTTCATGTACAAAAAAAATCAATGGCCTCTTCATAAACAATCCCAAAATTTTATTTTCTTTCAACTTGGAGCCACATGAGAAGTTCTCATGGGTACAAGAGTTTATTTAGAAGAAAAAAGTTTATAAAAAGTTGGAACCATAAAATGTAGAATTACAGATGCACCTAAAAACTCCATCGAAAAAAGGTTGTTTTAACGTTGAAAAATCTTCTAATTGGATCATCTCAACATCGAGATGTATAAATATGAATAAAAAACGATTTTGAGTCCCAAAAATAGTGCATCTTGCAACACATTATCTAGACAGTCAATTTTCAATATGTTCATATATTTATAGATCCACTCGATTTTAACTATTTTTAGAGTTTAAAATTTTATAATTAGATATAAAAAATAGATTTTCAAATAATACTAAAAATATTTTACACCAAAATTGCACATTATGATAAAATTTAGACGTGCGAATTGTTTATAGTTGCGACCTTATAAAAACTGCCCGACATATAATTATAAAATTATAATATGAGCATTTTTTCTTTATTTTTTAATCTCCGTTAATTTATCATTAAATGCTGCTCGTCTCCAGAAAAATGGTTGGTCGCTCGTCGATATGTATCACACAAAATGTCAAAAATGCATCGAGTACAAGCATTTGTAGGCCCGGCCCCATTTCTATGGGAAACCCCACAAATAAATTAATAAGATACGTCGTGACAAATTGTAAACGAACATTAAGCCACATTATTAAGCACGTGGTCATTACCCCCTTCCATCCTCACTCAATCATTGTTAAAGAAATTTTGTCAGGTCGATTTTTTTATTGAATCAATCGATCTTTATTAATTCTTTGATAGAATCAATCAGTTTTTAATTATTTAAATAAATATTTTTTATTTTGATAGAATCAATCAGTTTTTAATTATTTAAACAAATATTTTTTATTTTAACTATCGAATGACCAATAATGACAGACTCTCTAATAAAACCCTACTAATTGTTTTCAAATTTCGTTAATTTTTCACACATGGCCAGTCTGCCGAATTAAATAAAAAAAATCCAGAAACACAATTGGGGTTTTTGAATACTTGTTGTCATTGTTTCCCGGCTAACACTGCTTGAAGATCGGCCAATCGAAATCTCTCTCTCTCACTAACGCTAAAAGGGACAAAATGACCAGCCAGACTTCAATTTTTACTCTCTCTCACTAACGCTAAAAGGGGCATAATGACCGGCCAGACCTCAATTTTTACTCCGTCAGAACCACCTGTCAACGCTAGCAGCCAATAATGACCGACCAGAGACTTCCAAACTTTTAAACAGATTTAAAAATCAATTATCCGGGTCCGCTCGGGCGGCATGCACCAGTGATTTCCGATTTGAGAATCCCTCGATTCTCCTGGTTTTCAATTTCTTTTTGTAAACCATAGCTCATTCCGATCGGACAATCGGACTGCAATGTAGATGCGCCATGAGCACACCTTGTTTGCCCCTTTTTTTTGTGCAGAACATTATAAAAGGGGTGCACTTGCATGGGTGTTATTAAACTTTGGCAAAGCATAATGCAGGCCGGCCCCAACTTTTTAGAACCACACTTCAAATCTTACCAACTGGGTTTCATACTCTAAAAAGTGTATTTTAATTTTCAAAAAAACTTATAATCGGGATACCTAAATCTATGGAAGATTATAAGGCCTCTGGCACAAACACCATTTGTATTTTCTGGAGCTTTCACCCTAACTGCACCCATTAACTTTTCCCATAAATAGTAAAACAATAGAGAGAGTATATATCAAAATCGCTTGTGTATGTGCAGCATCTCAAGTTCATATGTAATAAAAAAAAAATAGAAAGGTACCATAACAATCAGTGAAGTGAATGGTATAACTTTCCACTAGAACAGTTTACATAGAAGAAAACAAAATTTTCCAGAGCTGCATCGTACATTTCCAAGAAACCCAACAAAATAAAAAACCATTAAAAACAATGAAAAAGGTTAAAAACAAGATGTGCCAACCCCTTCTCGAATCGAAGTTATTCTCTGAATATACATAATAAAAAATCAGAGAAAATACTACCCTCTCATCGCGCCAAATCAACCGCCAAGATCTTCACCAGCCCCTCATACCCAACCCCTTCGTTCAAATCTCCACCGCCCACTCTAAGCATCATCTCCAAATCCTCGTCACTCAAAGAAAAGCCCAACGACCCCATGTACCCCTTCAGATCGGAAAACCCCAATTTTCCATCACCGTCTCCGTCCATTAGCCGGAAAACTTCCCGGAAAACCTCATTTTCTGGAGACTCAGGAGCCGGGAAACTCAGAACCTTTTCAAACTCTTCGTACTCAACGAACCCATCTTTGTCTCTATCAGCAACCACGATCATCGAGTCGACGTCTTCAGTGGCTCGAGGATCAGCAGAAAATTGTTGGAAAAACGCGTGCAAATCTTCTTTGCCTATTTTTCCGTCGCAGTCAAAATCTAGAACTGTGAAAGCTCGCCGGAAGTCCGAGAGTCCGGCGAGGTCATGGGCGTATCTGTCGTTTGGGCACATGTTGCGTTTTTTGAGAGGTGGAGGAGGGCTCGGTGGGGTTTATATAGAGAGAGAAAAGGCGAAGCTGGCTTGGGGCACAAGACGTAGGCTTCGGTGACGCGTGCCATGACGTTCAAGGGGGAGAGAAAGTGGACGCGGGGTTCGTTGAGTAGAGAGAGAAAAAAGTCCCAAGGGTAAGGGAGGAATGGGATTGTGCTGATTTTAAAAACGGATCGGTAATCTGGTTTGGGCGGTTTGAATGACGGATGGGATCACCATTTTACTGTACGGAAAAGACAGTTAACACGTGAAAAAAGGGTTGACAGATTCCGGAGTATCATCGAAGGATCCTAGCGTTTTTCAAATCACTGGTTTTTAGTCCCTAGCGGCCATTCAAGCTAAATACAATTACATACAAAAATGAAATTGACAGGGCCAAACTAAGCTGGCCTTGTTGTTGCCCTAGCCCTACATGACTATCGAGCTCTCTTAGCCCTAGCCCTACCCTAATTCTCAATCCACATTTTGTAGCCGAAGCCCTGGGTAGTGATGAATAAAGGGGGCATTTTTTACCTGAAGCAATTGTCTCTATAATTTCGTTTTAATCTCCTTTAATAAAATTTTATAATATCTTAAAAATAAAATTTAATTTAAAAAGGAGAGAGGAGAATTGGGATGGGAAGGGAAAGGGAAAGGGGAGAAAAAAAGAGAAATGTGGTGTTTGGCAAGAGATAGAAAGCGGGATCGGTGGGAGTGTCGTTTCGGAGTCGAGAGTGACAGAGTGGAGTCGCTGGTGTGGACTTCAGCGAAATTGATGTACATTCCGAATATTTCCCCCCCTCAATAACGTTTTCTAGAAGTTTTTATTGTTTACGGTAAGTGAGCAGAGATTTTGAGCCATTACTTTTTGGGAGTTATCTTGTTCGTTTCTCTCTGGCTTTCGAATATGAATACTATTCTAAATTTGTGTTATTTTGTCTTTTAGTAAAGTGAAAGGTTTCCTACCGCATAAATGATCCATGCATCTTCTTCTAATGTATACATGCCTAATGTATACATGCCTTCAAGAGAGTCGCTCACCGTTTGATCTTAAATCCGATACCTCAGAGTATTTTATTTTTAGTTTTGTTTTAAACAATTTGTATGAATATGAAATTTGGTATTTGTCATCTTCTCATTAGGACGTACCAACAAAAAAATATTAAAAATAATTTTTCGATAAAATATAATGACCAAAGTACCCCTTAAAAGTTTTAGGGGTCTTTTGATCATCTTATTTTATTGAAAATATTTTTTTTATATTTTTCGCTAGTGCGAGTTTAATAGAGGATTGGACGTCCAAAATTTAGTGTCAAAATAGTTTATAGAAAAAAATTAAAAATAAAATAGTGTGGAGACATGATATTGTGATTGGGGCAATCTTAACCCTCTATTTAAAATGGATGATTGGATGAGGGGAAGTATATAAGTTTATGTGGTAAAAGAAACCTAGAAAGTTTGCCCTTTAGTAAATTGCTGTCGACTTCTTTTTATTTTTAAAAAGTGTAGGAAAACTGGAACCTGTTAACCAGGCATGTGTCCACAGTTGTTACTCAGTACTAAGCAATAAATCCCGCCTAACCGGGTAAATCTCAAGTAGTCAAAAAAATGTTTAAATAAACAATAAAAAACTAATAACACATGAAAAATATATTCAAAACATGATTAAACAAAACACATTCAATTGAAGTTGAAAATTAATGAAAAATTTTGGAATTTAAAGAATCGATTTGTGCTAAAGAGTATTTTTTGAAATTTTCCAAAAATGGGAAAAACGTAAAAATAAGTATTAATGGCCAAAACAATTTCCAAACTTCTCTCTCTGAATCTCTTTGGCCTTTCCTCTTCTCTCGGAGAAAGAAAGCCTAATCCTTTATCAAAATAAGGAAGATGAACCAATTTGTTGCAGAATACTATCTCTCTCTCTAAAATACAAGACGAGTTTTTTCTCTGGAGTGGGTTTATCTCAGGACAAGATTTTTTTCTATGATTGGAGTGGGTTTATCTAATAAGGTGGTGTTCGGCTTTGCTCCTACTAAAGGGATGGTTTGCAGCTATTCTTCTATGCCAATGTAAGGTATGTTCATAACCATCACCATCTAGGGTTTCCTTGTTTTTTTTTTTCTTTTAATAGATAGATGTTTCATTTTCTTAGGGACCCATATAGACCAAAATATGTGGCCTTTCTTGATTTTTTTTTGCCTTTTATTTTTATCCCAATTAATGGAAATGATTCAATTGGCATGGTAGGATTGATATAGATAACCTGGGTTTTCTTTTATTGATTCCATTTGGGTGCATTTCTCTTTCAATGCCAATGCAAGGTATGTTCATAGCCATCACCATTCTAGGATTTCCATGTTTTCTTTTTTTCTTTTAATAGAGAGAGGTTTCATTTTCTTAGGGACCCAAATAGATCAAAATCTTTGTTCTTTCTTGGTTTTTTGTTTCTTTCTATTTTTATCCCAATTAAAAGAAATGATTCAATTGGCATGGTAGGATTAATATAGATAACCTCGGTTTTCTTTTATTGACTCCGTTTGGGTGTATTTCTCTTTCAATGCCAATGCAAGGTATATTCATAATCATCACCGTTCTAGGGTTTCCCTATTTTCTTCTTTTCTTTTAATAGAGAGGTTTCATTTTCTTAGGGACCCAAATAGACCAAAATCTGTGGTTTTTCTTGGCTTTTTTTCGCTTTCTATTTTTATCTAAGTTGAAAGAAATGATTCAATTAGCATGGTAGGATTGATATAGATGACTTGAGTTTCATTTTATTGACTCCATTTCGGTGTATTTCTCTTTCAATGCCAATGCAAGGTATGTTTATAACCACCACCATTTTAAAGTTCCCTGTTTCTTTTTTTCTTTTAATAGAGAGAGGTTTCATTTTTTTAGGGACCCAAATAGACCAAAATATGTGGTCTTTCTTGGCTTTTTTTGCTTTTTAGTTTTATCCATGTTAAAAGCAATTATTCAATTGGCATGGTAGGATTGATGTAGATAACGTGGATTTTCTTTTATTGATTCCATTTGGGTGTATTTCTCTTTCAATTTCCTTTTAGGTCTTGGATGAGCAAATGGATATTTGCATATGTCTCGCTTCCATATTAAGATAATTTTTGTGCTCTATTATGGCCTCCATTTATGTGTATGACTTTTTTCACTTCTTAGACTTGGTTGAGCAAAGGGATGTATGCCTATAAATCCTCCATATTAAGACAAGGGCCTTTTAGAGCAATATATCTTTATACAAGAATGGTGAAATATGACTTTTTAATTTTGGTTTTCCTTCTTATTCTTTTCTTATTGTAGTGAAAAATGGCCTGTTATTGTTACTTGATAAATGTTGAAGTAAATTTGATCTAAATGATGTGGGGAACAATTTAATTCACTTACTGTGTAACCTCTTGGGAAGGGTTGGTTTGTTGGTGACTTTAAAAGATATTGTATTGCTAGCTATGAGTATTCATGATAAGGTAAAAACTATTTGGTTTATCTTTCTTTTCTTGCTAGATTTAGTAATATATTTGAACACTATGGGAATGGGAATTTGGGCGAGGCTGGTAAGTGATAATGCTTTTTCCAATTTTGATGTCAAGGAATTCAAATGTGGTTTCTAATGAGCATGTAAATGGTTATTTAAATGGTCATTTATTCCCAAATTCTTGTTCAAGTAATTCTGCTTATTTTATTTTAATGGTAATTCAAGTAATTCTTATTCAAGAAGACCTTTGTTATAAATTTCAAATGGTTAACTTAATCAGCAAATAATTCATTAATTTAGATGGGTTTACTGAATTTTGATCTTTTCATATAAATAATGCAAGTATTCACAATCAAGTTATATGCATTTGTTAAGTTGTTGTGGTTGGTATTGTGAAGTAATTCCAATGTTTTATACTTCTACTTTGTGTTCACAAGCTTTAAACAACTATATGTTTCTTGGTGTGCATGTAACTGGTTATTTGGATACTCAAATTTTTTAATTCCAATAATGTGTTTCTTTCCTTTTGGAAGCCATTCAATAATTATTACAAAAGCAAATTTTTGTTCTTAATTTCAATTTGTTATATATTTATCAACAACATGTTGGTAATTCATTTATTCACATGGATGTGAAAAATATTTTGCTGCCAATATGAACTAGAGACACTTTTAATTTTACAAAATAAGATAAACTATGTAATTTTATTTTGATCATTTGTGTTGTGTTTATCAGGCCTTTATGGAGATTCATTCTAGCAGATAAGAATCCAAAGCTAAAGCCATTGATCTTAGGCCCCTCATCAACATTACCTTTTGAGACTAACTAATAGCCTAAATATGTATGCTGGCATGAGCCTTGAGGATTTTTCAGAATTGTTCAAAAGGTGGTGGAAGGGCTACTCTAACCAAAGTAAGCACGTCATTGCCTTACTTGACCATGATTTGGGCAAGATTTCAATATGCAAATGACATGCACAAATCTAGCATGAAGTGTCTCTTTAAGTAGTTTGTGATAAAAGTTGATCAATGTTAAGTTAGGATATTCATTTGTACTCTTAAGTATATGTTTAATCATGCAGGTGTGTAGTTCATGTTGTTTTCATTTGGTTGTCTATTAGGTAAAATTTTGGTTCATAATCCCCAGGGGGTTGAACAAGAGTGCATCCTTTGTTTGTGAACTTTATTATTATTATATGTTGAATGTTTCACTTCTTTCACACATTTCTGTTTTTTGGTTACATAACGTAGGAGAGAGAGAGAGAGAGCACATTTGGTATCTATTGTAATGAGAGAGAGGGAGTATTTGGTATCAATTGCGATGAGAGAATGTATGTAGGAGGATCAACTACTACACATCCCACATCCCAACAAATTTGTTGCATCAGTTGGGTCCTGAAATATGCTCATTTGTAAAAAAAAATGAAGACAAAATAGATTAAAATTGAGTAGACACATCAACCCAGTACATTAGACCCACTATTATGGTTGGATAAAGTTGCCGCTGATTAAGAAAAAGCTTGGGAAAA